CCTATTTCCTAATTCTATAACTTAGAATAGTTATAGAATTTTTCTAAAAAGCAATATGGAAAATGGGTAGAAGACAATGAACAAAAAGTTTGGTTTTCCCATAGTAATTTCCATACAAACTTCGAATAGTTTGTGCAAGTCAGTTTGTTACCAAATGAGTTTAAGTTTTGGGAGGCTAATAGGACCTGATTTGAAACCGTTTGAGCACTGTGGAGCGAAAATTTCAACTTTTGCATCAGTCTAGTGGTTACACATGGCTTTTATGTGTACACATATTAAGTATGTGTCCGAAACATAGATATCATTGGTTGATCACATTGCAAAAATTCATAAAAACATAAAAACAATCTTTGAAATTTTATCAGTGTGGGGTTCTTTCTTACAACTTACAACGTGAACGAATCAATCATACGTCTGGTACTGAAGTTTAGTTCAAGAGCTACAATACAAGGTCTATCCAACTTTGCCCACGCGGTAATGGAGGTTTGCACGGGTAATTCATCGTTCAATGTAGTTTTTGATACTAACTGGGTGTTTGGATTTTCATTCCTAGCAACAGAGGAAAATGAAACGATTTCCGATCTCTAGAGTCCAGTGAACGATGCATTTTAAAACCCGTGCGAGTCACCATTACCGAGCATGGAAAGCTGAATAAGAACGCATAATAAACAAAAGAAAAGAAGCGAATCGTTTTTTTCTGTCTTCATCCGTATACCGAAGTTAATCCAATGACGGGTAAATGTGTTTGGAAGGAATTTAAACTCGTATGACGAAATTGGAATCAAGAAGCAGTGTTAGATTTTTTAACAATATCTCAACAATGTGAAAGATAAATAATTTTAGAAGTCATCTTTGAAATAAACATTCCATTTCTGGTTAAGATAAAATATCTCAACAATGTGAAAGATAAATAATTTTAGAAGTCATCTTTGAAATAAACATTATTATTATTATTTATCTTTATTAGGGAGGCTTTCAGCCTTGGGCTGGTTCGCCTCCACGTTGAAATAAACATTCCATTTCTGGTTAAGGTAAAATGCGGGTTGTGGTTAGTATATCGAAAATTAGATCTTCTCTTTTTATTTCCTTTATTTAGCGTCGTTCTATGTTCCGCAATCTAGTGTCAATCACCGACGAATATCGATTGCCATCCATTAACGACAATCCAAAAAAAATAATCCTCTAAAATCCTTATCTCAAATTTTGATTGGGTAGGGCACTTTACGCATTCACGGAGATAATAATATTATGATGGTGACGATGATGAATCACACAATACTTTTTTCAAAAGTTGCTTATAATCAGTCTTGAACTCTTGAATAAATATTTTTTGATACTAACTTTATTTTGACGGACTTCATTCAATAGATTAAACGTTTCTCTAAGGAATAAAGGCAAAATCCGCTTTTGGACTTGTTGGCGATTACAATTATTCTTCACATATACATAATCCCTTTGTCCTGGCATGGCTCTGCTAATGTCATCGTTGTCAAAAAACTGCAGCACTTCGTTCGTTATTTCCGAATCTAAACGGTTTCCCAAATAATAGGTGGGAACAGGGGTTGAAACTGTTGACGTTTTTTACGACACTCGCTTCGTTGTCATGCGCGACAGTCTCTTTTTATTCGTACTCTCATGCTCTACCGTCGTCTCTCTTATACAATACAACCGGTAGAATAACATTCGAGCAAAAAGAAAATTATCAAATAACTATCATATGACATGAGTGAGTTCGTTCTAATTCCTCAGTTTGGTGTAAATCAAACCATTTCTGATCAGAAATGTTATTCCTAGGACATCATTGCTTGCTATTTTTAGAATTCACACAAGCACAACATCAGCAGCTCTTATTATGAGAAAAACTAAAATACATACATTCGTAATGATCTTCGGCGACAGTGTCGTATGACAGAGCCTGTCAAATGACATTTGAGTTTGGTACTGTACTATGATAGCTTGTTTTGCAAGTGTCGGAGGCAAAGGCAGTCGATTATCACAGAAAATGTGTCGACTACCGTGACTGCTTACAAGACTGGGTGGGAATAGCCAATGCTCATTTGTCAGCAGCTAATTCTTTTGCTTGTAATGCCATGTATTTGTTCATTTGAGGCGAACGTTGATTATCTTCTGAACCGACCATGAATTCAGCAAAATCGTTAATATCCAAATTCTGCCAATTCTCGAACAATCTGGTGCTTTGAATTTATCTCCCAGTTTAGCAATAATTTCATCATATGCCGCAGCTTTTGTTTTCAATGTATTAAGCACTTCAGAATCTTCTTGAGGTGGGAGACTGAATAAGTGTTTTCGGAAATTCGGAAGTCTTTTTTCGGCGGTAGCTATCGTTCCTGCAATCTCTCAAGGATATTAGGGACACGTTGATTCCCGCAACACCTTTATTGAACAACTCAATGTTATGCTTCTTGGAACCTGATATTATTGAGACTGTCGATGGTATTTATGTTCGGAGATGAACTAGCTAGTGACTAAAAATCTCCTTAATAATGTTTAACAACACTTGCTTATTATGGATTTCTGGCTGCTCAATACACTGCATGCAGGAAGCTGAAAGTAGAAACGGACAATCATTTTGAGTTTCCACATTGAATATAATAGTTTTCTCGATGAACATTTCAAATGGTCCTATCTGCTTTGATCGATTCTCTTCATCGACTTTCTCTTTCGTTAATAACTCAGCTGCAAAACCTTTCCCTGTTGTATTTGACGTTTTGGATGCTAGATAAGAACCTCCTTTATCAAACTATGTGGTAGAATTAGCGCGAAATCTGTTTGCATAGCAGTGGTTATGAAAAGAGAAAGTCGATGAAGGGATTCGATCAAAGCAGATAGGACCATTTGAAATGTTCATCCAATTTTTTCTACTCATCTTGCGTAATTCGTAGATTGCATACTTGTTTCTACTTTAGCGTACTCATTCTGATTGCTTAACAATATGGGACTGAATAGTTCTCCAATCAAAGTTCAGAATAGGTAAAGCATGACAATTACCATCTCCGTTACGGGAAAAGGATGGATATTGTTGATGTAACATCTACTTAACGGGAGTTGGCTAGTTGGGTAGGAGATGGTAACCCGCGAGCATAACACATTTCGATTTTTTTTCAATATTTTCTTTTACTCATCCTTTTCTTTTACGGTTCAACAAACCATCATTGTTTTTTTTTCAATCATCATCAAAAAATCAAAAGCAGTTTTTTCGTTCAAATTCAAAATTCTGCCAACGAAAATGTCATCATTGCATTCTACTGGCTTACCGTAACACAGTGATGACATTTTCATTGGCAGAATTTTGAATTTGAACGAAAAAACTGCTTTTGATGATTGAAAATTAAATGATGGTTTGTTGAATCTTACTCATCTTTTGCATAAAAACAGTTCTTCAAATCTTCTTGGTGTTAAAGGGTGACCTGTATGGAATTTTATGAGCATCTTTGACATTGTACCACTATACATAGAGAATCATGAGAAACTTATGAAAAGGGCTTATTCTCGAGAAAATACCAATTTCTAAACATTATTTTTACAATATCTCAAACACGGCTACGTTTAGGATGTTGGTCACCAAGATCATTTTGATTTGTTATAACCTAAAGAATCAAATTCAGTTATTGTAATATTCTTATTCATTCTAATTCATCAAATTTGAAAAATAATGAGCAGTTTTTTTTTATTTGCAATTGTTTCATCTTGGATTAATCTTTATAAATTGCCTTATGACATAAGGTCTTTGCAGAAAAAAAAAATAAAAAATCGTACGTTGTAATGAAGAGAAATTCTACAACTTCTTTTCAAACACAATTTTGATACAATAAATTTTTCGAAAAAATCATGTGTGAAAACGCATACGAAATGGTCTCGTGATCTGTGGAAAAATCATAATCTCCCATAATGAAGACATGTTGAAAGTTTCATCAAAATCGGAGGGGCTCGTGCCAAGTCGTTTGCTCATTTGATAGAGAATTGCTCATGATGTCTTCGGTTAAGGTGATCCCTTGTAGAGTCCACAAATGGCCACCACGTAGGCTATAAATGCATTTCCACCTCGAATTTTCAATTCTCGGAAATTAGAGTTCCATTTCACCTGAAATTGCTACTGCATGTATGCTGCAGCGCAGCAAACGTGGAGTAACAGTTGCATTGTAGTACGTGTCGTGGAAGCTGATATTTGTGCACTAAAAGTTTCGAAGTGGTAGCGAGAATAAGGATCTCACAGCGAACCACCTTAAAGGCACTCTCAAACTGTTTAGCAAGTTTTGTGAATTAAATATTTTCTTTGTATCAAGGGGGTGGGAATTGTCTTGTCGAAACTCCTGATGAATGTTGGCGACAATAGTAGAATATCTTTGTAAAAATTGATATGAATTAATAATTTTCATTTTATTGTTTTATCTTAATTGTGTATCCTTTATAGATACGCGCATTTCGTCTACAGTGTGCATACTTCTTTTGTATCTTGTACCAATACTCGACTAATAAAAACATCGTATCTAAAATCGATTCTCAACCTCATTATAGTCCGTTGAACGAATAGCACGTAATAAGTAGCGATGTTGAGCGAGCTTGATCTCACGGTGAGGGTACGTTGAGAATCGATGATAGGGCTTTTGATCTAATTTCCGTCCTACTAAGCACAACCCGCGCTTTACCGCTTTTTTCTGAACGAGTTTAAACAAAAAATAGAATATTTCTGTCAAAGATGACTTCTAAATTTATTCACCTTAACTCTATCCAACTAACGCATAGGAACAAACCTAATATGCTTTGTGCACGGTGAAATCATTGATATTATTGATCTTTTCTGATCGATATCACGGAAATGGGCGATTACGACGAAGTAGCGCTCTACCTTATAGATAACCTAGTCACAATGTATTTTTGTGTGTGTTGATAGTGTTCAGTAAAAAAATATTACTATGCCTTTTCGATTTTCAGAAACTCATTATATTATAATCTTTATTAAAAAGCATTCCAATTTTCAGGAACAGATAGTCCATCATCTCCATTATCGTCGTCGAGCCCTAAGCCATTGTTGAGCCCACAGCAAGGGCCATATAGCTTACAGAGCGCATGTGGTAAGTAGTAGTTACACCTTGTGCACTCATGCATGTTGAACCGCATCTCGATCACATTTCAATATTGTAAAGATTCCAAAATCATGGAGGACAATGGTTCATTTTCGCTGTAGTATTAAGTAGCATCACTCCTTTGTTGTTATGTCAGAATGTGAACTGCAGGACACATGAACACCGACAAGTTGAACGCATATTGCACATCGTACAACAGTACGATGTACACATTTTTGAGTGCCTATATTTATCTATTCAACTATACGCGCTGCGCGTTTCACTTCGGGTGGACAGGCGCAGCGCGTATGCGTAGTGATGTTACTTAATACTACTGCGGGTGCAGTACAACCACATACCATACCAGCACACGACCACTGCTCTCAACCTGCTCTTTCGATCTGTTTGAGATCTCCAACAACTGTGCCACATTTCACAGTGGTCCAGAATGTAGATTTAGCTGGAATGATATGTTTTGAGCCTGAAATTGAAACTTTAGACTAAAAGTCTCTTCTACAAAGTTGTTCCTTATAGTTAGGCCCTCATTTTTATGACAATGAATTCTAGGGTGGTTCCTATTATCATTAAAATCAAAAATCCAACTTTTTTGTTTGAATAAATTAAGGTATACAATCTTCGGCAAAGTTATAGCTGAGCTGATTTAGAGCTATTTTCTTGAATTGAGTTAGGGTGGCACTTAAAAAACAGTTTTTTTGCTCTATTTTTCTTATTTCGAATTTCTCAGCAAAGGTGTCTCGAGATAACTTTTAGATCTTAAGAAGGCGCAAATTTTTGCTGCACAAAGCTTGTCAATATCTTTCGCCGATCAAGAGTTATTGACGTTTTTATACTAAGAATATACACTTTTCAAATGTTAATATCTCTGGTTGGGGCAAACAAAAAAAAAAATTTTTTTTGCAGCATTTGAAAGAGCGTATATTATTCTCAATAATATGAAAAAAAAAAAAAAACTGGAGGTGTGTTATTTTTTAAACTCGTATAAAATCAATTTGAATTTATTCATATTTTTTACTATATTTGAGTATATCTTTTTTATTAGAAGAGATACAGGCAACAAATTCAGCTATAAAACATTCGTCTTAAAGAGTTTTAAAAGTCTGTAGAAGATGGCTTTCATGATAAATTTCAAATAAAAAAGTTATTGGCAAAAGATGGATTTCACAGGACCACTCTAATGACAAATTTATATAAAATGTGCTAGTACATTTGTTTCAATATCTGGACATTTAGTGTCTCCGAAGAAGTTTTTGTTCTTAAAAATTCCCTTCTTTTGGTGTTTGCAGACGTCAGGGTGGTCCTCAAATTGGGAAATTTTTAAAACTAACTTTTTTGTTTTACAAAATATAAACATGTGTTGTTCAAAAAAGTTGTAGTTAAGTTACTTGCAAGCAACTTTGTCGAACAAAATTTTTTTTCTATCTCTTAACGTTCTCATTTTAGAGTAATTTTTCGGAGTTGACTTAGGGTGTTCCTGGAAAAAATAGTTTTTTAGCAATAACTTTTTTATTTGAAAATTCTCATGAAAGTTATCTTCTAGAGACTTTTAAAACTCTTTAAGACGAATGTTTTACAGCTGAATTTGTTGCCTGTATCTCTTCTAATAAAAAAGATATACTCAAATATAGTAAAAAATATGAATAAATTCAAATTGATTTTATACAAGTTTAAAAAATAATATACCTACAATTTTTTCATGTTATTGAGAATAACATACGCCCTTTTAAATGCTGCAAAAAAACATTTTTTTTTTGTTTGCCCCAACCAGAGATATTACCATTTGAAAAGTGCATATTTTTAGTATACCAACGTCAATAACCCTTGATCGGCGAAAGATATTGACAAGCTTTGTGCAGCAAAAATTTGCGCCTTCTCAAGATCTAAAAGTTATCTCAAGACACCGTTGCTGAGAAATTCGAAATAAGAAAAACAGAGCAAAAAAACTGTTTTTTTAAGAGTCACCCTAACTCAATTCAAGAAAATAGCTCTAAATCGGCCAATTTAAGAGATACAAAAAAGTCATTTTCAACAAAGTTGCTTAACATTAGCTCAGCTATAACTTTGCCGAAGTATGTATACCTTAATTTATTCAAACAAAAAATTAGATTTTTGATTTTAATGATAATAGGAACCACCCTAAAATTCATTGTTATAAAAATGAGGGCCTAACTATAAGGAACAACTTTGTAGAAGAGACTTTTAGTCTAAAGTTTCAATTTCAGGCTCAAAACATATCATTCCAGCTAAATCTGCATTCTGTACCACTGTGCATTTGTACGAATTTGGTTCCGATCTGGATGTGTGGGAGAACATTAATGTTTGTGTGGGACATTGAGGAACTGAAAGAAACTATTCATTTGCATGTTAAAAAATATCCACATGGATCAATATTGACCATATCTGAGACATATATAGACCCAACTATGCAGAACAATTTTGTCGGAGACGGCAAATCGATACGACTTCTGTTCAAACAGTTATTAACCTTTTACTTTAGGCCATTCCCATGTAGGTATTTACGGCAAAAATCTCAAATATAAAGTTAAAAAACCAAACCATTTAGCTATCCATTCCCAGAAAATATAGTACTACAAATCACGTTTCCCAATTCCCGGGAATTTTATTGGCTTTCCCGGGAAACGAATATATTTTTAGAAAAGGCATGCTAAATATAAATTTTTAATATTTTGTTTTAACTTTATTTTTCGTAAAAAAAAATTCAATAGATTTTATTCATATTTTCGGGTAAAGTCGGATGAAGCTTTCTAGGGATGTGGGAAAAGTTTCTTACACAGCTACATAAATGGTCAATGATTTCTAATTTAAAAAGATGTTTCTCTATGTTTCTCAAATAATACTTCTTAAGTCCATTCGGGTGTTGATATGAGCATCCCTCATATTTCAAACATTTTCTTCATTATTTTACAATTCTGCCCCAGGTTCTGATTCTTCTCAGAAAATTTGAGCTCATTGCATCCAACTCGTACTTTAACTTTAACTTTTTGTGTTCATTGTACTGTAACTGTATAATTAGTTTTACCAGTTTTCTATTAGCTTACACATTATAGCAAATGATTTTTTTTCCTTGATTTGTCATCTTGTTTTCCGTACTGAGTACCAATGCTAACGACGCCAGGAAGGCAGTTCTCACACACCTGGACCCTACCCTATCGATCCATCAACTCATGGACCGGGGACCAAAGGATTTACTTCCCGTGATCAGAGATTGTATGCCTCAGAAAATCCCGGTGGTACCGAATTTTTAATCTCCTTTAAAGAATTAAACAAAAAAGGTGGCCCTGACTAGGATTGAACCCAGGCCCTTAGGGGTAAGAGGCAATCACGGTTACCGCTACACCACCGGTGCCGCTATTTTAGCAAATGATCAATGATTCTAGTGGTATTTATTGTAATTATACTACTGGTATTTGTTGCAATTGTATGTTAATAATGATAATACGTATGCAGTGAGCGATGAAGGAAACATGAGGGGTGAATGGTGGCCTTACGTTAGTAGCCCTTCTCATAATACCCGGAGATGAACTAGCCATTGGCTAAAAATCTCCTTAATAATTGAATAAAAAAAAACTTCTCATAATGTAGCTTATAGCTGGAATAATTTCACATAAGTAGAAAACTTTTCATTATGGCGAAGAGCTAAGACGGTGACCCACCCCTACCAATCGACCCATCAACTCAATATTATTATTTTTTTTTGTATTAGTTTAAGAAAGGAAATTTTCAGCTAGTGATTGATCGATCTGTTAGAGGAGAAATGGCTCTAATGTTGGCCTATGGATCTAAGATTGCTAAAAATCTGCTATTTATCAATTTTATCTAGATGAACGCGTCATTGGGACGGTACTTATGGATATTTTTGTTTGCTATTGAAAATTTAGTCGAATGCTGAATTTATGTATGGGCCCAAATTAGGGGCACTTTGGTCGGCATTACATCCATTTCCTCTATAACATATATGTTATATCTTATGAATACTGATGTTTGTTTGTTTTTTCTTTTTCTTTTTCTTAGTTTCTAGATCACGCCAAACGTCAATCGATGTCACAGATTCTATGAACTCAGAAGAAGTTTATAAAAATCTCCGTAAAACTACAGCTGAAATTCAAAACTACAGCTTTGAAGCAAAACTTGACAGAGATGCCAACAGCAAAGATTCTGGAATAAGCCAAATGGGAGAAGTTCAAATGCAAAATTCAGACAACTATTTACTAGGTTCGAATGGTTTAAATGGTCATGTTGGGTAATAACTAATTTTAAAATAATGGTATTCATTATATTATCGTATCTGGATATATTATAGCTTTGAAAAAGACGACTCCTGTAATGGATCTAAGACGCAATCGGCTACCACTACTGAATCGAATACTCCAGAAAACACTGTGCGTTTGGATGGTATCGATATGAACCAGAAACCCCTAGTACACTCGCAGCGACATCATCAGTACACGTTTACGGATACAGGAGAACTTGTCGTAGACAGTAATTAATTTTTCACATTTGTAAGCGTAGCATCAAAATAATAACCTGTTTTAATGTACAGGTGGCGTAAAGGAAAACGATGTCATCAAAGCAGCAATAGTTTTATCTCACGACACCAATACAGAAACAATAGTTCAAGTTCTGGAAAATTTGCAAACATGCATTAAACACGGAAACTGCGAATTACCAATCAAAAACTTCAAGTAAAATTGTAATTATTTTTAAATTTCTCACATATTAAAAAATTTTGCTTTTAGGGCTATCATGAAAATGTTATTGAATCTAATGGAGTCACAAAACTTCACAGTACTGATTGTAGCACTACATACACTTGGACGAATCGTTCGTAGTTCTGAAATGAAATCATGTTGGAGCAATTTCTTGGAATTAATTTTATTGAAGATAATCGACTGCTACAAAATTAGCAAAGAGGTAAAATGATCAGGTTTCTGCTTTGAAATAATTGTAACAACTTTTTCTCGTTCACAGGTATCAAGAGAAATCGACATCATCGTAGTAAAAATTGCAAGTGTTCTACCATTAGATATTTCTGTAAACATCCTCAACCCAGTTATCGCAACCGGTGACTTTCCAGCAAACCTTTGCGCGCTAAAAATTTTGAAAGAATTAGCGCATAAGCAGGGCAAAGATTTGACAGATAATCATTTGGATAGTATAATGCCAAACATAGCTAGGGTATTAATTAAATTATTGATAATACAAATACGTTGCTTAAATTATCATATTTTATTACAGTTAGCTGACGATAGTCAATCTATGGTCAGAAAGGCGGCAGTATTTTGTATGGTAGAGTTGTACGTTGTGATGGGAGAAGAGAAGGTGAAACCAAAATTTGCGCTTCTTAATGCTAGTAAAATAAGGTACACCCTATCATTGAAGATATTTAGAGAATGTACTAATTTTCTACTTTTACAGGTTGCTGAACGTTTACATCGCAAAGTCGTTGAGCAGTAATAAAGGATTGAACTCATGATCAAAACAGGCCATGTGATTTCTGTTCAAAGGACGCAAAATCGCTAAAAAACTTTGTAAATTTGGTAAAAATATTTCGGTTATTAATGAATAATATTTATTTGACATCTATACCAGGTCGACTGTAATGTTGCTCTTTATGTGGAAAAACGAAGTTCTTACAACGTCTCTTGAATGGCTTAACATGCCTTTATTTAGTTGCAGTTATTCATGTTTAAAATCTATAGAATGAAACAATTTATGTTCAAGAATAAAAAATCTGGTTAACAGAAACATCCTACACCAACGTAAGGTTATTAAAGTTTTAAAAATTACCACAATTCCCATGAATACTAGGCATATCGCATGACCAACATAATGTAGGGTAATTTACGGCTTCATCAATTCTTTTACATATTATCGTCAGGTGGTAAACCATGTTTTTTAGGGCCTTTAGCCCTACGGATGCCCTGGACCCAGGGCTGGCAAATGTCATGTTCAATGAAAGATCTCACGCGATATTTAAAGAGATACTTCTGTCATTGGATGAGAAAACAATGATAGAGATTTTCTTAAAAATCTCATCGAATTTTTTGTCATGACAGAACGTGACAGTGTTCTGATCATCGTAATTACTAGTTCATTTAATGCTATTAAAGTTACTTGTACCGAGGAAATCTTAATAATATATTCACTCTACCGATTACATACGGTTGTTTGCTTAAATTCATCTAAATCAGTTAGAAATGTTGATGTCAAAACCGCATAAGAATTATTCTCATAAGTGCTTGATTATTGAAAAATGACAAGAAAGCTAATGATAGGTAGTTTCGTCTCGTGATATCGTCACATGACAACCGTGATATTTACCAGCTATGGCCCTGGCAAAAAACTGATTGTATGACATTTCTCGGAAAACCAATACCCGGAAACCCATTACCCGAAAAATCATCAATCTCGGAATGAACCAAAGATTTTGATCAAATCATAGTATGAAATGCGTAGGTTTGCCTTAAATGTCTTCATGACATTCTGCTGACGGTTGACAGTCGCTTCTTCCATTATTTGAATTTTTCTAGCCTTGGTCTTATTGTATTTTATCAATACGCCATATGATTTTTGTGTGTGAAACAACGCTTTTCGCTAGCTTTGATACAAACCATTGCGTGGTGGAAAATAATAAATAATATAAAATCAGTTATAGCTTTATTACGTTTTAATCTAGTTATATCTCTTTGGGATGTTCTGCAAAGATTTAGACATCAATATAACACACATTTTTTCTGAAGACTCCAAAGTAACACATTTCCATTTGTGAGAGATACAACGATATTTTAGCCCTTTTTCAAGACCACATGTAAAACAGAATGTAATGTTAGCCTTGTTAGAACTTATAAAAAAGTTTAATTTACTAGAAATTCATTTTTAACCTCGGCTTAATTTCGTCGCCAAAGTCCATATTCAAGAAGAACTTTGCATATTGCTATTTTTCCGCCCTTCAGAAATGTTTTGGTGGCAAATGCCACCTTCGCCATCGCCATCTGATGAACCTTCAACTTAAAGCAATGACAAATGTTTGCTTAAGGACTGTTCAGTATATAACACTTTCAGTCACAATTTTATTATTTGACTATTTAGCTTAATACTTTCTTCGGCAAGTTTTTCGTCTTTGTATTTTTACTAAATCTTAAATCACATGTGCTCTAAAATGCAATTTTTATACTCATGTCAATATAACTTGAACACCAGGATATTTTTTTCCAATTGTGTCAAGCCAAAAATGTTTTATTTCAGCTTTTCTAAAATTTTATACACACAAATTCAAATAAATATGAATTTCGTAGAACAAAGTGTTTGTACGATTTTGCTCGATTTTCAGTATCATTTTTCGTTCAACGTTTACAACTTCAGAAAATTAATAATAATGTCTCATAAATCTGATTCTTCCTAATACCGTAAGCTTAATCTATTAAGTTATAGTTTTCATTAAATTGAAAAACATATGAAACAGTTAACATAAATTTAGTTGTGATTATTAACTCTGTCAATACATTGTTTTATCACGTTGTGTTCTAATTAAGTGATCTGACCAGTGTAACTTTCAACTCGGGGAGCATGCATTAAGTACGTCACGCAAAATTTAGAGAAAATTAAATCCCTTCTCTCTTTCGCCAAGTTTTTCTTATAACCTAATGCATTGCTTAGAGTGTGACGTACTTTATCGATGTGGCGAAGGATACTATTTTGCTTATGCATCATAGATTCAACATATAGTCTAATATTTTTGTTTTGATTATTGTGATCACCGTAAAACAAATACCAGTAAAAGCCAATTAATCAGTTTATTGTTCCTCAGTACACATTGCCTTGAAAAATATTGAAATCAGATTGAAACTTTGATTTTTATATCGAAATTCCAAAATTAGTTCACTGATTTAAATGAGCCATTTGCCCCATTGCACCAGTTTTAGGGTAATCTAATCAGAAAGTGGGCACCAAAATCAATGTGAGGTAGATGCGCTATATATTGTATTCGGCGGCTTATAGATCAAAGCACAGTTCCTACCACACTTTGCTCCCTATAATTTTACATCAGATTAAAGGAGATGGGAACGAATGGGAGCCAAATCAAACCAACCAAAAAATGTTAAAATTTATGAATGAGAGAAGAGTGCGGCGAAACCCTATAGGGCAGATGGGGGCAATATGTAATTGTTTTACCGGTTATGTTTCGTTTTCTACTTAAGATAATTGAATTACACTTTTTAACATTTAATTATATCAGACTTTTGTAACACCAAGAATGGAATATCTGTATTTCCTTTTTGAATGTGTTAATGTCTTCGGCATCTTTTATTTCCAAAAAAGTTTAATGTCGTCAGCATAGATTAAAACTTTCAATTTCTTAATAATGAAAGAGATGTCATTGAGATGCTTTGAGGAACTCCCGAAGTGACCTCAACGGGATTTGATGTCTTTCCTTTGTATTTGGCTATTTGATGGCGATTAGTTAAATATGATTCAAGCCATTTGAGGAGTGCGGAATGAATTACCATTTTTGAAGTTTAAATGCTTCTCAGGTATGTCAATTCGATCAACCGCTTTGCTGCTTTGCAGATATACGAAACTTCTATGTGGTTTCCGTTATCCATTGCTTACAAGGAATAATTAATGAATTCGAGCAAATTCGTAGTTTTGGAACGGTTATTAAAAAAAAAGTATTTATTCTGTTTTTAATTTGAAGAAATAGTTTTTCATTTACAATCGCTTCGAAAAGTGCATCTAACCTTTAGATGCATCTAAATTTTTTAAACCCTTTTGAACGTTGATTTGACTTACGCTGATGTCACTTGAAGATTATGGATAAGATCCAAAATATTCACGGCCACGATCCTATTCTGAAATACTAAGGAGTTGAATTAAAAAAGATGAAAATAAATAACGGATCATCGTAAATTTTCGTCGAAAATTTCATCGAATCTCAATTTTCATCAACAACAATAGTACGTGACGAATGCATGGAAAGTCATATAAGGTGTGAACAACGTTTGGGTTGCAAGTGCGTGTGAGAAAATATTATCATGTTGCCAGTTATTTTATTTGTCTTTTATTTGTCTTCGCGTTTCTCTTTCTTATAGGGCTCTAGTCAAAATCAGAATCAAAAAATGTCTTTTTGGTACGTGTGACGATTATGGAAGGCGAAAAAGTGCAGTAATAGAAAAGTACCATAAAAAGCGCATGTCGTAACATGTTCCTGGTATCATCCAGATTATTTTTGGAATAATTTTAACATTCGTAGCATCACGTTCTCAGGGTTTAGCAGGAGTTAATGCATTTGGTATAGGAAGAACGTGACAAAAGGGGGGAACGGGTTAATTTTCTCAAAATAATTTATTTTAGAATTTTAGGTCATTTGTGACTTGTTCGGGATGAGAGTTGAACTCTTGACCTTTAGAGTGAGAAATTATCCGTGGACAACCTTTTTTAATACGACTTGTCGATTTCCACAAAGAGCGATAATTACAGGAAACATTGGATAAGATTGAAGACAACATATCAAGAAGATTGAATAATTTTCCCGTTTTCTCGTACGACTTCTATGATACAAGCACAATCACGTCATCTGCTGCGCAAAGGTAAATATGCTCCGAACAAAACTGATAGTAAAAATATTAACCTCAAAAGAGTAATTTACATGTTTGTTCATGCGTTCCTTCACCTTTGCTCAGACGCAGCGCTACTGTATCTGACTCTTAGATTTTAGCAAAGTTTCCAGTCTTCTTGATATGATGTCTGCGATAAAATGCAGAATTACTATATTATTATCAGTCATTTTATTTTACTGTAACCACAGTGTTGTTTATTTTGTCAGCTACCTTTTAAAATGAACAAGTAGAATATTTTAATCGAAAAATTGTTAACTTTAAAACGATGTACACTAAACCACCCACGATAATATACGTTACGCTGGGAGCCGGATGAATATTCTAATTCTATATTTATTGTATTCACTGTAATATCTCGGAACCCTCATTGCTACTAATTTTTACAGTGTTAATTAGGAAAAGCTTTGGTGTTTACTAAGATGTCCGGCGGCTAACCAGCATTTCTAGTCGCCTATAGTTAAGAAGATACAAAGATAACTGAATAAAATTGCAAACTAATCTCTTAGCGAGTATGTGTTTTCTTTAGAACCGTTACAGATATGAAGTAATACTATGTTCAGACTGGCGAGTTATAACATGATTAGATTAGATTAGATTTCTTTATTAAAGAAAGTGTTTTTCTGTAATAACAATTATTATAACATGTTCTAACTCGCAGTCTGAACATAGCATCAGAGTCAACGGATCGTGCATAGGAGGAGAGGGGGGGGGGGGGGGATTCGATCTACATTGGCCTCATAGCCTAGTCAGTAAAGGCACGGTTTTACCAAGCCGGAGGCGGCGAGTTCGATTCCCGGTCCGGTAGAGGGAATCTTTCGGGTTGGTAATTTTCTCGACTTCCCTGGGCATAAATAGAGTATCATTGTGCTTGCCACACAATATACAAATTCATGCATTGGTATTGGCATCGAAAGCTCTCAATTAATAACTGTGGAAGTGCATTTAGAACACTAAGTTGAGAGCACGCAATAAGCTAATATGCGCTAAGCAATAAGCTTGAAATGTGAACAAGAAGAAGAAGAAGTGTTAATAAATTCACATAAAAAACATTTTCTGGTCATGCTGCCATGGCGGACGCATATGAAAAAAATGAAGTAGGGGGAAAACATTCCTATTGTTGCGGTTAGAAGTGTTAATACACATCAATAAAGATGTCCGGCATTGACGGCAATCGAATGTGCAGGAAGGCAGCTTCCACACCTGCGTAGGATACCCTAATAAACAAATACCATTACCGGATGGGTAAACTATCCCACAAATGGTTTGGATGATACCCCGAACAAGTCGTTAAGCTCTCTTTTATGGTTATTTTTATTGGTTATTTTTATTAGGGTATCGCATCCATTCACAACACACATGGGTCGGGACCAACGACTTTACTTCCCTTCCGATGGAAGACGTGACCAGAGATTTTTATGCCTCAGAAAAATCCCACCGACCTCGGCTGGGATTGAACCCAGACCCATCGCCAAGATGTCGGTGGAAAAGCAACTTGACGTGCGTTACACCTGTCATTTGACGAACGAACCCCTTCGTCAACGCTCAAAGCAATTCCAATGGCAATATTCTGTTTGATGATTGTTCTGCAGGTTATTACACTATTCAATATCCAAACAGCCCAACATGCTTTTCTTCTGCAAGAAATCCCTCAACTATTGATTTGGTCTTAACTGATTCATGTCAACTTTGTAGCCAATTGGTTACCATGCCCATGCTGACTTCGGTTCTGATCACCTTCCAGTAACTTTTGAAATATCCCAAGAAATAGTTTCTAATCCCAACATGAGAAATGATGAAGCATCATTCGATTTTTTTACAGTTGCCACTCTTGCATTTATCGCAAGGATCCGACTCTAATTGAAAGGTCCCACTATTTATACCCTTCGGAGTGTTGAAACACCCTCCAAAGGCGCGCCCCTTTGTTAGTGAAAATTGGATTCCTTAGCAACAAAATTAAGGTATGACACCGATAATGACCATGCATCAGAACCCTAGTCTTAACCACTTCAAACTAGGGAACAACGTATAGAAGATTAGGAATCACATAGATGAAGACAACTAACTCATTTTTTTTCCCTTGTTTCAAGATCATCCTCGGTAGACAAAGCCGAGTCTTGTCACTATCAACAAGGCATAAAAAGTAACATGTTCCCCTAGTTTTAAGTAGTCAGGACTAGGAATCGGTGGTAGATCTTACATACCGTAACGTACCACGAAAAGTGATCGTTACGGGGCATTCTTGGGCCTATCACCTCCCTGATTTGCCTCAGGGTTGCCACAAATCTTTGTTCGCTGATGAGGCATTTCCGCTAAAGGAAAAAGTCTTCGTGTTATTTGGAGCAGGCTGCAGAAAAGTTTAGATATTTTATATAGAACTTAAATTATAGAACTTATAATATTTCCACATACGCCTAGAGCTTCCTTTTTGAAACCTAGTAGTAGTGAAATATCTTGGATTAATACTTGACCAAAAATTAACTTTTAAAGTTCACATTGAGGGCATTCAAGCCAAATGTAACAAATATATGTGTGCTTGATGTGGAGGTAGATGTAAACCCAGATATGGGTGATGACGACGAAGAAGCTTCAGGTGATTCCCACACTTGCGCAGATGCCTCGGGTGTCGGTACCCCAAGCAGTGTGGATTGCTCAGTTGGAACTCCACGCGTGGTTGACGTCTGGTCGGTGACTGTAGATGACGATGGTAGTGGTGGTGTAGTGATAGTGGTTGCTGTAGTGGTGGTGTAGTGATAGTGGTTGCTGTAGACCGTGGATTAGGTAAGTTCCAGCTTGATGTGGAGGTAGATGTAAACCCAGATATGGGTGATGACGACGAAGCTTCAGGTGATTCCCACACTTGCGCAGATGCCTCGGGTGTCTTGTGACTTGTCACCAGATGCTCGACAGCGCAATTGATTGAGATGCGATCGAAGCATACGCTTATCTTCCACCCATACGTTGTACATAACACGCCCAATAGGTTCCAGAACTACACCGGGTGCCCATCTCCACTGGTTGTTTGAGTAAACCTTCGCGTATACTGCATCGCCATTCTGAAAGGATCGCCGTTTACTCATTTGTTCATCACTATGTTCCACTACTGGAACGGTTGGTGGACGCAGCAAGTCCAGGCTAGTACGAATCATTATTTCGGAGGAAGGGTTTGGTGTTGATCTAAAAGTCATCAGGAACACGTCCAAAGCTTCCTGAATGGCTCCTTTCCCCTCTCTGATTTTTTTCACTGACCTCTTGGGTGGTACGGTGCTGTTGTGATGTGATTGACACCATTCTCTAAGCAGAACCTATCAAATTCGGCACTAACGAACTGTGGTCCGTTAGCATGCCGAGACGAGAGAATAGACTTCGGAGGATGCTGATAGTAGCAGAGGAAGTGATGGATTTTGTCCTGACGATTTCGATCCACTTGGAATACGAGTCGATGCTCAGCAGGAAATACTCGCCTTTGATCGGTCCAGCATAGTCTACGTGCACTCGCTGCCATGGATGCGTTGATTTTGGCCACGACAATGGCACGGACTTGGGTGGGCTTTTGGCTACAGCTACGCAATGGCGACATGCGCTGACGTGTGCAACAATGTCTTCGTCCAGGGAGGGCCAGTAAACATAACTGCGCGATATTGCCTTCATGCGCTGCATTCCTGGATGACCTCGGTGAAGATGATGCAAGCAGCGAACATGATGCAGCCTTGAACTGTCGAAAGCGACTCTCGCCTATCGTGGAACCGCTTTTGAAGCTGAGTGGAAGTACATCCACTGAATTTGCAGCAATTGCCTTGACATCCTTCTCCAAAATAACGCTAGCTACTACAAAATCCTCCTCTGGCTTGACATGGTGTTCAATTAGCCGAGACAGAACATCTGCGTTGCCGAATTTCTCCGTGTTGACATAGACGAACTGTAGCGCCCAACGTTGTAAGCGGTTTGCAGTATAGACCGGGATACCTTTCTTTGATCCGAAGTGATCCGTCTGCAGCATGAAGCTTCGCCCGAAAACCATTTTATGGAATTTGGTTACGGCGAAAATGATCGCAAGACCTTCGCGATCTGGCTGGCTGTAGAACGAACGTACTCCAGACACGTCACGTACTCCAGACACGTGAGGTACCCCAGGTATTTGATCTGGCGCTGGCCAAACGAACACTTCTCTTCTTTGATGGTAAACCCGTAATCCTGGATTCACGGAGGACGGCTTGAAGTTTGCGTTGATGATCTTCTTCGTCCATCCCACCCACTAGAACATCGTCGAGGTACCCTGATGAACGTTTGAGTCCAGCCAGCATGGTGTCCACCAGCTGCTGAAATGCCCCGGGCGCTGCCTTAACACCGGGTGGAAGTCGATTATAACGATAGAGTCCCCGATGCGTGTTGATGGTTAGCATCTCTCGAGACTCTTCTTGTACCTCGACCTGCAAAAATGCGTCAGAAAGATCTATTTGGCTAAATACCTTACAGTTGGCCAGCTTTGCGAAGATATCTTGCGGCAGCGGAAGTGGGTACTGGTGCGGCTGAAGTGCATCATTCAACCCTGTTGAGTAGTCGCCGCATATCCTTATTGCTCCGCTTGCCTTCCTGACGACAACGATCGGTGCTGCCCAATCCGAATGCTTGACTGGTGTGATGATTCCAGCGGTCTCCAAACGGTCCAACTCATCATCGACGGTCTTGTACATCGCATACGCCACTGGCCGCTTCGGACGGAACACGGGTTGTGCCCTTTCCTTCAGCGTGAAATTCGCCTTTGCTTTCGTACACAAACCAAGCAAGTTGAGTTGCTGCTTCACGACGTAGAAACGACCTTGCTGCTTCGTCCCGTTGCACAGAGGAGTAACTGGAACAAAAACCTGGCCAAAATTATATTCACTGGTTTTGAGCAATTTTCTGCTAATATATATTAAAATATTAAATAATAAAAGGTTTTTAGACTTCTGTTAACTTTAAGTTTTAAAATACATCTACTTAGCAGTGCATATCTGGCCTTTCATCATCCATACGAATAACAAAAGTAATGGGTTTTGAAAGTAGGATTTTTTTATTCTTCTGTTTAATATAAGGATTAACAGCGCCGGTGGTGTAGTGGTAAGCGTGATTACCTCTCACCCCAGAAGGCCTGGGTTCAATCCCAGTCGGCGCCGCCGGGATGTTCTGAGGCATAACATCTCTGATCACGCCTTCCTTCGGATGGGAAGTAAAGCCGTTGGTCCCCGGTTCATGAGTTGATGGGTCGATAGGTAGGGTCCAGGTGTGGGAGCTGCCTTCCTGGCACGTCGGTAGCATTGGTGCTCAGCACGGAAAACAAGATCGACGGAAAAAAACAAACCAAAGGAAAAAAAAAAAAATAATATAAGGATTATTTAACAAAAAAGAGTAAGGAAATAATCCAAGAATCCTGCCCTGAAATAAAAAAAAATAATAAAAAACACGGGATTTACGCTCCGTCTTTGTATGTTTACATTCAAGAATGCGCTGAATAGGTATATAGCGGCATTCAGCTCCAACCTGGTCGATAAAAGGTGTGGAAATGAAGGGCTGAATGTATTGATGATGCAGTTCGTTTTTCACTCGACTAAAAATTATGCATTTTCGAGGGAAACTTTACAAATTTTTACCCATTTTTGATTAATTATGACTCAAAATAGAATAACTTTTACTCATTTTTGTAGTAATAATTACTCATTTATGAGTAAAGTTTTACTCATTTATTGTGTAGTCCCACTTTTCCTCGAAAATGCGTACTATGTATTCAATATTGAGTAGTTTGCGGTTACCGTGCACAGATTCTGCGTTATTTTCATTCGTTATCGCCAGCTATGACGCTCTGCTAGTTTAGCTTGAACGAACCTATGTGTATGTAAAATCGAATGGGTAAATGTGTGTGTGTGTGTATGAGAGAGTATTACAACCAAATGGCACTCGCTAATTTTCAAAATTTACAGTATCTACCTGAAAAGTGAAATACTTTATGGGGTAAACGGTCTGTGATAAACATTGAATTACAAGGCAAAGAAACCTTACTCTTGCTACACACACAAATTATAAAAATAAACTAATGACAAATGGTTTTTCTAGCGTTACACTCCTTTATGCAAGTACATCAATTGAGGTACTAGATTTAAAAACTTAGCAACATTAGTAAAATGATGCTGGCCATGGGTATCAAACCGGGAGTAGTTTACTGAAGTGTAATTTTAATCTAGTACCACAATTTATGTAACAGATTAAAGAAGGACAGAAGTAGTACTCGGTAAGTTTATCATAGGTATCTGCAGAAAACCGTTGTGTTACGGAAGTTTTCTGGAAGTATGACCTTATAAAGGGATAAAATATTGCCATGAAATGATGCAAAACATGCCATTTTCAAATGGCTCGCAATCGCCAACCCGGACGTCTTCTTTTATCTCATAACTTGTAAGAAAAGAGCCCAAATTACCCATTGTATTATAACACTTGCCTCTTGATCAAATTGTTTATATCTGGTAGGCATAATTTTTACATGGTTACTTTTTGGAAAACAAGAAGCTTCGAATTTCTTCAGTTTTTGAACACGTCTCTAAATTTGTAAACAAAATGTAACGTTTTTATTCCGTTGCCACTTTATGCTGCATATATTGAAATATATAAACAAAATATAGAAGCATGAAAAATCAAGAAAATCTTGTTTTCTTATTTTGGCCAGGTTTTTGTTCCAGTTACTCCTCTGTGCGTCGCGTGAAAGTGGAACTTAATGAAGGCCTAAGTACTTTTTCGTAGTTTTTAGTTTTCGGATTTGAAAGATCGTCGGTTACAGTGGCCTGCTTACTGAGCAGAAAAACGCGGTCCCAGGTCCTTACATATCAAAGAGATTTATGGTAAAATCGCTTGTGTATCGTGTATTTTGCGAAACTCGTTGTTGTCGTTGGTTCCGGGTTTGAATGGATACACAAATTTGAGCAACGGTATTATGTGATATGAGGGGCTCGGTGGCCTTAGAGCAACCGCTTTTGCTTACTGAGCAGAACATCATGAGTCTAATCTCAGGCCCATCCACATTCAAGATTCGTCAATCGTTTTATTTGTTAATATGACTACATGGTAATAACCGCAACTCGGTGATTAAAAAGGTGCTCGTCTGCCTAGTGGCAAACGTTTTTGCTTACTGAGCAGAAGACCGTGGGTTTAGTCCCAAGCTCCTTCGCGTTATATGATCGTTAGGACATCAATTCAGCTTATCGTTTACCAAAACGAATCCTGCTGCAAACCCAACCCTCTTATCCAACATCCCAGTGATTCCTCGTGGAAGTGCAGAGGTGTTCTCGGCTTCCATCAAAGCGAGTGTCATGTCAACACAATCCTTCCCATTCCTTTCTTGACCTGTGTTCGGGCGCGGCCGGCGCTGGTATTGCCTAATTTAAGATCACCAGTTTTTACACATTGAGGATGATTGCTAGTCCCAAGCATCGTCTATTGGTTCTCTGTGTAATTACAGCTGATCTGGCAATAACAGAGTAGCAACCGTGGGCGGTCAATCAAGCTCAAGCTCAAGCTCAAGCTAGAATTTCGATTATCGTTGAATAGAGGAGTCCGTTTGAGCAATTTAAATGCAGATTGGGTCAAATAATGTTTTGATGTTGCATTTGATTGCGGTTTCCGTTGACGATCAAATTTAGGACGGAGAATGTTCCGTTGTTTTGATCATGATTTGTTGTTCAGTTATTTATTTAGGTTTATTATTGAACAGAATTCGATACGTTGATGAACAAGTGATTGTAGTTTATGTTGCTTTAAATTTGGCTGTTTATGTGCGACTTACCTGAATGAAAGAACTGTTGACAACGTTTGCGTTTATAGTGTTTTTTTTAAGTTATGAAAATTTGATCAATTTCTTTGATCAAATTTTCATAAAGCTGGGTGGTGTGATGTAACGTTTTACGTTTATTTGTAAATAGTTTTTCGTTGAAATCTAATTTAATTAACAATTAAATCCTTTTTATGTCAAGTTTGCTAAGAAATGAAATATTTCAACCGTGTAAATAAAATCAGACCATTACCGTGTCGATTTAACAACTTTGCCATATTTACTGTGTCTAGGCTACAACTTCGCCATAAAAGCTCAACTTATAGTGAGCTGTATTATATTGTACATGCTTTCTGGAGGCGCCATGAAGTCCGTCGCCATTCGAAAGGTTTGGCGCAACTCTCGAATAAAGAGAGAGTTTTTTAAAAGATGACCTATCTGAATAGGAAAAGGTCGTTAGGAATTTTCCTGCTCGCAAAATTATTCTGACTCATCCATTTCGCTTTCGAATCGGCTGGATAACAGAAGTGCGCGAATTACTTTACGTTCTCGAGTTATATTAAATCAAATTGATTTTGTGCGATAAGTTTCTCTAAAGGTACTAAATAGTAGTGAGTGAGTTTTTATCAACCAGTGGTTTTTTAAACGTTTTCTTTCTTTTTGTACAGTGGACATAAGTCCGTATTAAGTTCCGCGTAGTCTGTTCAGTGCGTTTATTTGTGATATTGTACAAAAAAGGTAATTTTATTGAATTTTGTTAAAATTTAGAATTGTATGAGTAATGTGAGTTCGCGTTGGATTTCCAGCGCGTTGCGCTTTTTTTGTACGGGCTGGATATACGTTCCGTTCGGCTATCGTCAACGCCGGATCGGGTTCCATCTGTGGCATCGCCATCATCGTTCGTGGGAGACGGACATTTCCCGTGACTCGTGCGCCCTGCTAAGGCCCGCCTTTTCGAAGGTAGCTAAACGGAGGTGGGTGAAGTTCGCTAATCTTCGAAGCGAAATATCTTCCGACGGTCGCCAATCATCCGTCGACAAGGTCCCTTCCACTGCAACCCCGTGGACCATTATTTCCGAGAGCTCGGACCGTGTGAGTGCGTCGCCAAAAGCGTGCCGCGGTCTGGATTCAATCCAACGGGAGAGGGGGTTCATTTCATCACGGATGGTCATAGCGGAAACAAAGTACGCGAAGCCGTCCGAAGGTAAGTTGGCCTCTTCTCTTTGCGGAGCGAATCTCCCGGGACAGCACGACTTCTCGTCGTAGCTCAGCTCTCGATTGCCAAATCGGAAGTCTTCCGTCCAGCCGCCACTCCCTCCGCAACTCTAATTCGGCCATACCGCATACGAGTCACCTTCCGTTGCTGCGCGCCATACTGCAGCACGTGAGTGGCACCATCACGTTTACGCCGCCATCGCTACACCGCCATCATCGAGTCATCGAGCCCTCATCGGTCAGCAGTCATCGATTCATTGTTTCGTCAAGTAAAACCTGCGCAGGTATGTGAGAGCATGTTTAATTCATGGCCATGATTTGCTCTTTCCCGTAAACCCCTCTCAGAAATCCAATGCGAATGAATGCTAGAATATAGTTTAAAGAAAAAGTTGAAGATTAGTTTTTCGAACGTTTTGAATGCTACTCCCTGAATAAAACCACTTACTACGTTACGTTCTGTTTTCTTTCGTTTCCGCTCAGTTGAGTCAGCATTCCTTCGTTCTCTTTCCGTTTCGTTTCGGGGGTGAGTCAGAGTAATACCTTGGTTTATTTATTTGGTCCAAGCGCTCCATTCCTGTATTACTGAAGGACTTGGCATTTCCAGAAAGTTAATAGTTTTTTTCATTGCCGTTAGTAACCAACGACCGTTCAAGAGGTCCTCTGAGAGAAAAGTCTCATTTGTCG